GGCGGGCTGCTCGGTGTGGCACAGTAGGCCCAAAATCCGAGCTGTGGGCTGCACAACGGGCCGTCTAAGTCTTGAGAGAACCTGCTGATCGCGTCGTCCTGTCCGCGACGTTAAAGAATTCTTGAGGAGTTACGGGAAATCTCCTTCAATGCCTCCTGATCAGCAACAGGTTCTGTAGTGACGGCTGTAGTCGGAGTCTAGGCTAGTGCCCCCAGTTGACAGGGTCTGAACCAGAGTGAAAGCCAGGTGGGTTTGACCGCAAGTGCTGGGCATCTAGGTCTGGATTGCAAGGACTGTGGTTGCGAAAGCTTCCGTCGGCCGTGGTAGTCTGGCTGGAACGAAGGGGAAGATTTTGTGGTCCTTGGAGAGTCAGTGAGTCAGTGGTCTGGGTAGGTCTACGTGGTGAGGAGTGGGACATTGTCGTGCACCTGAACACCATGGACGACTACCCCATGTACGGCTTGCTCGTGGGGTTCTCCCTTTGGGGGACCCTTTGGCGTTTCATTTTCCCACTGGGATTCAGGAACACGTTTTTGTGTAGGGTAGACATACGTACGGGGACGAGTACCTCGCCCTACACGGCCGAGCAGGAAGCAAAGGCCGCCGCCATCCTCAAAGAGAGGAGAGAGAAGAAAGAGGCCAAGAAGAAGGCCTTGTTGGAGGCGCAAGCGGCGAAGTTGAAAAAGATAGAGGAAGAGATGGCCAAAGAGAAGGAGAGGTTGAAGAAAGAAGAAGAAGAGAAGTTGAAGGCGGTGGAAGAAGAAGAAGAAGAGGAAGAAGAACAACCACTGGAAATGCGAAGGGCAGGAGGAAGAGGAGAATCCAGAGTGGGTTGCTGGACTATCCCTGGGAGAAGATGAGGAGGCCCTAATGTATGTGCCCAGGGTCGAACAGGAGGCAGTCGTAAAAGAATGGGAGGCTGAAGAAGATCCGCTTAAGCGGCAGGTGTTGGAAGATGAAAAAAGGATGGAGTGGAAGTTTCGCCTGACAAGGGAGAGGAAAAGAAGGATGGAGGCCGCAAGTCAGGCGGCGATAGAGTTAGAAGAGATAAAGAAACAGAAGGATCAGATGGCGGTGCAAGTGGACTTATTGGGGAAGATGGAGATTATGGCAAAGAATATAGAGCGCCTAGCACGAGTCCAGGAAAAGCAACTTTTATTTGGTAGAAGTCAGGACATTGGTGTGCGTTCTATACGATCGGGGCTTCGGGACTTTGCACAGGAAGTGGCGACACAGGTGGGCTCCGAAGTGACGGCCCGCCTAGACAGTACAGAGGGCTATTGTACGGGTGCCATAGAGGGCGCCAGACTGACTGCTCCCAAGGAGGAGGAAGCACAACCCTGTAGGGGGCCTGTCAAAGTCAAGTTCCCCGCAGGGAGCCTGTCAAAGTCAAGTTCCCCGTAGGGAGCCTGTCAAAGTCAAGTTCCACTTTTGCTGCAGGATGACTGTTACATGCTGCACCTGCAACATGCTGCGCCTGAAACGAGAGCCATTGTCAGGCCCTGTGTTGTTTTCAGCCTAAAAGCCTGAAAACAAGGGCCTACAGACCCTGTGTCGTTTTCAGCCTAAAAGCCTGAAAACAAGGGCCTACAGGCCCTGTGTGGTTTTAGCCTGAAAGCTTGAAAACAAGGGCCTACAGGTCCTGTGTCGTTTCAGCCTAAAACAGGGCCCTCCAGGCCCTGAGTCTTTTCCGCCTGAAACGGAGGGTCATTTTCAGGCCCTCATAAGAGCGACCTGCCCTGAAACTTAGGCACCAGACTAGGGTTTTAGCACAGGCCATTTTGGGCGTGTTTTCAAGACAACCTTTGTTTGAGCTTCAACACCAGGGTCTGGTACGTTTTGGCATTGGCAAGAGCAGCCTCCTGGACGGGCCAGCACTATGTAAGACTGGCCCGCCCTGCGGGCTGCAGGGAGTTCATAGGGACTTCCTAGGCACTTCACGTGCAGTTCAGGAGGCAGGAGGTAGTCTTCAGGATTCGGCAGCAGCACTCTGGAGGAGCGCTGCAGTAGAAGTAGTAGCGTTAGCAGTAGTCTTCAGCGTTGGGCGCTATTAGGAGCTAGAGCAACACTGGAGAGAGATAGAGATTGGGCGGAGGCCAAGGAGACTTACATGCAGCGCCATAGCTCCAGCTCGTCGTCGAGGTACCTACAGCACAACGCCATCTTCACAGGTT